TTTGGTTTCGGAAGAGGTACTCAGGTCCTTCTTGGCAGTTAGACTGGTGTTACATGCCGACAGAAGGATGACTGAAGAACCAGGGGTTGTTTTTGTTGTCAGTGGAAGAGGTGGTACAGGGGAAGGCTGACCGGAGGTCAATATTGGGGTCCCTTGGGACGGCGCAGCCTCTGTATCCCCATTAACTGGAGGTTGCGCCTCTGTGGATGCTCCCGATGCCGTTTTGGGAACCGCCTTTGATAGGCAGCTATTTGGCTTATGGCCGAACTCCTGGCACTTGGTACACCTTGGGGGTGTCCAAGCATAATGGACTTGAATACGCACAACACCGCCTGAGTCATCCTCAATATCCACTGAATCTGGGAGGTTAGCCCCTAAACTTACCTCAACTTTTACTCGAGCCTCGCCTACGCTTAGCGGATCTAAGCGCATTCTCTGTGTGTAGAGGTTCGCCTATCCCGCAGGTGATATAGCTGGTGATATAGCTGATGCCACGAAGGGAGTATAACTCGACAGGGATACTTTTTAGTGTCACCCATATAGGAGCTGAGGTCAAAGCAGTATTCCGTAGAGTTTCCGTCGTCGACCATTTTGCCACCGTGAACATCACGTCAGCCGCTCTCCAAAGGCCAACCTCCAGGACCCATTCCCGGGTAGAGAGGTCCGGAATGAAAAACAAACAGGATGTATCACTGATACGTCTAACATGAATACGTGACTTCTTTCCCCAAATCGGGTTGAGGATTTGAAACAGCTTTGCTCCAGTTGGCGCTATGCCATAGAAATTCCCCACAAGGTATCCTTGCCAGGATTTTGATGCTTCCACTAGAACTGAGCTCGGAACACGAACCCGAGGTATGCCGTCGGCAGAAAGAGTGGGTGTTGCAACTCTAGATAGATTTCGGGATGATGGCTTTAGCCTTTGGGCCCAGGGGTACCGATTCGGCGATGGACCGCTTACATCAGGATTTCTCGTCAACTCACATGCTGGAGAGGTAGCAATATGAGAGGTAACCTTAGCAACAGTAGGAACAGTGCGAGATCCTGATGTTGCAGAGTTGACCCCAGATTTAGAGACCGACAGTGGAGGGAAATCCGCTGCGGAGAGAGGCGGAGGAGCGACAGTGGTAGTTGTGTCTGGAGATGATGGTCGAGAGGGTGATTTAGGAGGGGAGACGACGGAGATGGGCTCAGGATCTGGAGGATGTGGCGGGTCCTCACTCGGCTCAGGCGAGAGAGATTCGCGGATTTGAGATTTCGCAAATTTCTTTGAGTTCGCCTTCGGAGAGTTCTTCTTGCGAGCCATGGTGGTATGGGGGTAGCTTGAGGAAAAAAAAATTGGAAGGGCTGGAAGAGGTGGGTACTAACCGGTAGTAGCCGGCCAGCGCCGGACGGCGGAGTTTGGTCAGAGCGGTCAGTATTTGCGGTGGCTAGGGATTGATGATGAAGAAAGGGGTTGATGAAATTTGGTAAAGTTAGAGAGAAGCAGGAGAACTTTCTCTCTCATCCTCAAAAACCATATGAATTGGTATTTTTAAGTCGTATACCGCCCAACCCAATAATATTGCATAATGGATAAACTTATTTGGTTAATTTTGTTAAATGGGTTAAATGGGTTTTAACCCAATTAGGTTATGTTTTAATGGTTTACCCATTTAACTCAATAAACTCCTTTTTTAAGTTTTTTGGTAATCAGCATTCATGTGGAGAATCCAACTTGATAATATCAAATCTCAAGTTGCGAAAAAAACATACGAACAAAACAGGAACTAGACCATTTTAAATTTCATAATTTATAATTTTACAAGATTCGAATATAGTTACAAAATAATGTCAAATTGCATTTAGATTTGTGATGTATGGTATTATAAAATAATAGATAAAATTTTACGACAACAGAAAAAAAATTTATCACCAAACTGGTGGGAAGAGTGGAAGGATACCAACCATGTTTCGAAGAAATTGTAAATATATATTGTAATATCTACATAAATCTTTAAAAAATATTTTATAATATATCTGTATCTTAATGGAAATCACATGGAAATTCTCTCATTATATTATATATTGAGAATATTAATGTGAATAGGATACGAAGAGATTTTACCAAATTACAGAAATTGTTTATATACGGAAAATTCGGTTTAGGTGTTCGTTATAGTTTTTTTTACAATTTAATCATATTTATTTTATTTTTATGAAAAATAAATAATTTTGGTATGTAAATGAATTTTGTTTGCAATGCATGAAACCGGTAGACATGATATACACATTCTCTCGTCAAATAGAATTATATTATTGGTAAATCATTAAAGTGAATGAAATAATTGGGTTTAAATGGGATAATTGGACTAACCTAACCCATTTGGTTTTGAAAATACTTTTAATGGTTTGTGTTAACCCAACCCATTAATTTCAATAACCCAAATGGGTTGGAACTAAATGGATTGGTTAACCCACTTTGACAACTCTAACCCTATGTGCAAGGAAAAAAAAAAAAGCTAAAATAAAGAAGTTGTTCCTATAAAAGAGGAACGACATAGTCCTCTATTACTTAGTCAAATCAACTCTTAATCTGTTGAACCTGTCCAACTGTATCAGATTAGCAATCAATTTTTCCAGGAGCTATTCGAGAGTTCTCTACTAGGTACAAAAGGATAATGGATGGAAATCCCCAAAACATCAAAAATATGCATCAAAATGTACAAAGCAAAGCACATCTATAATTATTTAAATATTGTGAAATGCGATAAATATCCTATGTACAGATGTATCGTAAAGATGGATCAACGGTTCTCTTGTGAATATTTTCCCAAACTAATCGACACTGACATGGATCTTGGACAAGTAAAGATGGACTCAGACTTGGACTCAAGGCCCAATATCACAAATTAATGAGGCCCAATTGCATGCAAGGCTGAGGTGTGGCGTATTTTTTGTTAAAGAAAAAAAATAATAATGGAGGGGAATCAAACTCCATATTTCCATATTTGCTTTTGGTTTCCATTTGTTGTTTTGTTCCTCCACATATTATTTCTTGTAGTTCACTTTCCATGTTTCTTTCTAGTTATTTTTCGTGTATATATATGTTTGTTACATGAGGAATAGTAAAATATGTCTTCCTTTTACAATAAAATAATCCCTAAATCTTCTCTTCTTCTTCATCCATGTCCGAGAGATTCATAAACAACTCCTTGATTCTTCTTCTTCTTCTCCTCTTTGTTATTTCATAGTAAAAACTCACGGATGTCTGTGATCCTCGTTTTCATCCAATTGGTTCGTAATTGCTCATATATTCCTGAAAATCTACGGAAGAACGAAACGGTGCAAAACACATGCCTAATATGCTGCAAATGTCGAGGGATGCATAGAAATCGGGAGAAACTATGCAATAAAGTATAGAATAACGACATGCAAATACAGCGTTATCATCCTTTCTTTTTTGTTGGTAAAATGTGAGTGATATAAATAAAAAAGGTTCGTATACATCAGTTTTGACAAAAGAGGGCATATAAAAAAAAAATTTGGATTCCCATATGCACATAGGCAAAAACATGACGCATGAAAAGCTACAACTCAATATAAGATCCTAAGTGAGGCCTGCTGTAAAGAAGTACCAATCCTGAAGGAGTGAGCTGTTGGAGGGGGGAGCTGCGAAGCTGTAGTGACAGCAGCATAGTTCTCATTCGACGGTCTAACCTGCGGCAAAGAGCTTCCACCGACTTCGCCGTGCCTCGGAACACGGTCGTTCCGTTCCTTCCACAATATATCAATAACTAGTTGAGGTGTAAGCTTGGAAAACAACAGCCTGCTTCTGTCTTGGATGTCTCTGTTTCTTCGCCGCCACCCATGACAGAGTGCTAGCTCTGTCGGAGCAGGACTCCAGCAACAATTAGTAAAATGGAGCCATAACGCTGAACTGAAATGACAGCTAAAGAAGAGATGGGAGAGGCTCTCGTTGTCTTCACCACAAAGCAAGCAAATTATGTCAGTCTTATGCAACGCGTCGCTTCAATTATTTTGTATAAAAAAAAGTTATAAATCCTAAATAGAGGATCGATGCATGAAGTCGTGAAAAGGCGTTGATTAAAGGAAATGTATATGATTAAAGGAAATGTATATGAAGACATAAACATTAATTGACGAAAAAGAATACGCGAAGACATGCAGTTCATGGAGATAATTCCATATTTCTTTATGTATCAAACCAAATTTGATACAAAACCAAATGGTTCTATTTTTTACATGACCCAATTTTATCGAATATAACCGAATTGAACTGAACCTATCGAAATCCAAAATTGCGCAACATTGTGTATTCTTTGTTTAATAAAAAAAAATGTATATTTTATTTTTATAACTGGCGCAGGACAGTGTATTATTCTTTGTTTAGTACTGTCGGAAAAAGAAGGAAAGAAAAAAACACATTAATAATAGAACTCCTGATATGGAGAAAAAAAAAACAAAATATATTAAGATAATACCCCTGGATAGGACAAATTCTCATCTTCATAAAAGATACCCAAACTAAATCTTGGAGATTCCATTTTCCCCATTCAATTTTGTAAGGCTTAAAAATATTATAAGGTAGAAAAATACTATAAATATCATCATACATATTCATTTTGAACGGCGATGAACGCAACATAGGGAATCAAGAAAAAAAAACATGGGTTTGACCAACAAAACCCTTAACAATGTTCTTCCTCCTTTCGCTTTTCTGTTTCTGCTTGTCTCCTCCCCACTGCTATTCCTCTTTAAGCTATTCCGCTACGTACAGAGATGCAGGACCGCCGAAAATGTCGCCGGAAAAGTTGTCGTGATAACCGGAGCTTCCTCTGGCATCGGCGAGGTCACTATGCATTCTGAATTTTTTATTTGTACAACTCAACATTAAGTAGAGAATATATTTGGCACTAAATTCAGGCTTCTTTTTGCATTCCGTCTTCACGACAACGCATAGTTTTATATTAAAGAGCAATTTGTGGAATTTCGGAGTGATAGATCACCATTAAAAAAAAAAGTATGTCTAAAATAACCTCTTCCATATATATATATATATATACGGCATTTAGAAACGGCCAGTTCAACATCTTTTTACGTATTACTCGGTATAGTTCGAGCGATATTTTTGTGTACCTATAGGAATATTTTTGTGTATGATATGAGTGTTAGAATATTATTCATAAATGTATAGATTTGCAAATAAAATAAAAATCGGTATATTCACTGTAAAGTATTTAATGAATTCCTTATAAAAAAAGTATTTAATGAATTTTATTATTGTCTTTTTTGGTAACGTTTTTTTTATTTATTTTCGCGTAGCACCTAGCCTACGAGTACGCCCGTAGAGAGGCGCGTCTGACGCTGGTCGCTCGGAGGGAGGACCGTCTCAAGATGGTCGCCAACCGGTGCCGGGAGCTGGGTTCACCGGCGGTCATTGTGACACGTGGCGATGTTTCATTGGTTAAGGATTGCAAGCGTTTCATTGAAGATACGGTCTCACAGTTCGGTCGTCGTGAGTACAATTTTGGTCGCGATGATTTTATCTCTAATTTTAAACTCATTTGCTAATAAAATTTAATTGCTTGGATATAACAGTCATCATGTTGCTGTTACATGCATGTTGGATGGATTATTTTATTTGATCCAAGTTAGGACGAAATACACAAATATTCGGATTTTTCTTTCAATAGATTTATTATCTTTGAATAAATTTCTTCAAAATTAGAGTTTTATCTGATTTCTTCCACCACGTTTGTAACACATCTATATATATATATATATATATATATTTGGAGTAATGGATCTAAAATAAGAAGTGGACCGTAAAACAAGTGTTGCATGGGTCATGGCAGTGGATCACTTGGTGAACAATGCTGGAACCGTGGAGGCCAAAATGTTCGAAGAATACTCCAACATCTCAGACGCCCATAGCCTCATGGTAAACTACAATCCTCAATCATACAATACAATAAATTATTTCTTCTCTATACAAGAAATGACTCGATCGATGATCGATATTTTGAAATTTTAAAAAAAACTAAATGTTTAGTTTTTTTATCATATCGATTTTCAGTCCAACCCTACTTCCAACCCATTCGGTTTGGATTCGGTTCTTATTAAAAATGTTCAATTTGGATTCGCATACTTTGGTTTTACAAAGTATATCAAATCATTTTTGTGATCAAATTCGGTTAAGGATACAATCACTCTCTAGTGGGTATCAGTTATATTTTTCATTTTTGTAAAATTATATCCGTTTTTGATATTTTCACTCCATTATGTGTTATTCAATTACGTTCTTATTGAGGAAAAAAATACGTTTCCTAAAGAAATTATAGTTTTTTATTATTTTATTTTTATATTGATCCAATTTGGATTCGATTATTTTGATTTTCAAAATGTATACAATTGTTTTTTTAAATCATATTCAATTGGATTGAGTCGTAGAGGAAACGTGATATATCAAGAGCTGTGATATGCATTCTCTCGCAGAACACTAATTTCTGGGGTCCAGTCTACGCCACGCATTTCGCGGTTCCTCATCTCAAGAAAAGTAAAGGCAAGATAGTCGCGGTCGCCTCGCCCGCTGGATGGTCCGGGGTCCCTAAGATGAGCATTTATGCGGTAAGTATATAATATTGTGTTGCTTATCACGTATTTACACAATTTATTATATATTTGGTGAAATATAACAGGAACACTAAATTTAATGGTGTAATGACAAGAAACACGAAGCCCTTTCATCTCACAAGCTATTTTTTCTTTTTGAATTCATGTTTCGGAATGGAACTCATAAGGCGACGAAAGCAGCAATGATAAACTTTTATGAAACTCTGCGGATGGAGCTCCATCCAGATATCACAATAACCACTGTCTTTCCAGGGCTAGTCGAGAACGGAGTGACAGATCCTGAACTTATCGCCGAAGTATTTTTTTTTCTATATCACCTAGTCTTGTATACCTTGTTTCGTAAAAACATTCACAAATCCAAAACGACATAGTTGAAATCACAAATTTTAAAAGAGTGACGAATCACTGTAGCGCAAATGTCAAGAATTATGGAATAATTTCCTATTGAATATATAAAAGTGTTTCTAGGCATAAAATTTGATTATAGATAGAAAACTAAACATAGTCGTGTAACCAAATAAATATATCATTTGTAAAAAGATGATACATAAGAGTAAATACCAATGTGGTGATTTGGATACAGGCAAGGGGGCGCCACGGTTTAGTGCCGAAACAGTCAGCGACAGAATGCGCAAGAGCAGTGGTGGATGGGATTTGCAGCGGAAAAACGTCTGTGGCCGAACCCTCATGGATCGGTGTCCTGTTTTGGTTGAGCACTATGTGCCCTGAATTAATGGAGTGGGCTCAACTTCGAAGTATGAAGGCTATGGACAAAAATAAGTAGGAACAAAAGACTGTCCAAGTGCTTAACATATTTATCCTTGTTGGTTTAGTGCTCTATGATGTACTGTTTATGAGCTTTATTCAGATACATTTGATGTATTGATACTTTCTACGGTTTTATGAGAGTATTTGATTCATTGCATGTTCTTGTATACTAGATGTGTTATGAAATTCATGTATCATTATGAATGATACCAAACTCCCTAGTCTTGTATCATTGTGGGAATGATGACATAATAAGACTAGTATGATGTGTGATTGATGATTATAGAGATGATCATAAGTATTGGATACGATCACAGTTATAGGTATTCGTTGGAGAACGGAATACTGGATTGACCCGCATGAGATTGTCACATGGACTAGCGTCATGACTTGAATCTCATATGGCGGTTCCATGATTGGATCCTAAGACCTGAGATATCTACAGAATCCAACATGAGAAGTTGCGTGCTTTGAACACGTCAAACGTCATGCATAACAGGAGGACTATAAAGGCGTGTATCAGGTACGGAACGAATCATGTGCTGGATTGTAGATAGCCAAGATGAGATTTGTACCTCTCGTAAAGGAGAGAGATATCGCTGGGCTCCTCGTGTGAGCGAGACTGTAGAAATGTGTGGCCGCACTATAGATGAGCATCGTCTATTTCAGACAGTCGAACTCACTGAACGAGAAAGCAGTCGAATCAGATAAGGTGGCTTGTCCATGCCTTATGTTCGACATATGATATCGCGATACAAAAGGATCATCAGCCGGAATCATCACTGGTGTTCGTAAGATCACGAACAAACTCTATTTGAGATAGGTAGTCATAGTGTCTTGCTAGAGACCGCCTATGACTTGTATATCCGGAATAGAGATTTCGGGTTATACTGCTATATCGAATGAGCCTACAGGGTCACACACGCATGGAAGGATGAAACACACGAGAAAACGACCGAAAAACCAAGACGGAAAGGTCTGGAACGGACGGACCAGAAGTCCATAACGGACGGTCCGCTGAGCCAGACCCGACGGTCCAGAACGGACTGTCCGTTCCAGAAGGTCTGGAACGGGCGGTCCACTAATGCCAGAACTTTCGTTCTACGTGCTGGAACGGACGGTCCACGTGCATTTCTGGACTGTCCGTTCCAGGTTTCGGATTTTTCGAAATTAGACCGAATTAGGGTTAAATCACCTTATAAGAAGGAGATTAAAACCCTAATTAAGGGAGAGCTTTTGCTGGCCGACTTAAGAACTCTTTTGACAGACTTTTGATGAGATCCAAGAGGTTCAAGAGTGTGATCGAAGTCTCGGTTTATCGAAGCACAAAAACCGAATAGTTGATTCGGGTCCTAGCAGACAAGTTCCAACTGTTGGAATCTATCCCGAGGTGTGGATACGTGTAGAGGGCGAGGTAATCTTCCTCCGTTTCGTGATCAGACGGATTCTTCAATTGAGACAGGCCCCGGATCGATTGACGTAAGCGTTCTAACGTTTCTACGATTCATAGAAGCATGGTTCTAGGGTTTCATTAAATTTTTGTTTTGCATCTGCTGCGCAAACCCTAGAATCGATCTCTTAGGAATAGGATTCGCTCATGAGATCCCAGGAGATCCATCAGTCCTTATGTTTACGTGATCTGGATTTATATTCTTGATATAAGTTATGGTTATTGATGCGAATCTACTGTCGCTATTTTGAATTTTATGTTATGAAACTTCTAATGAAACATATGTACATACATTTGTACCTGTTTTTATTGTAGATGAAATTAATCAAGTGGTGAAATTCTAATGAATATTTTAAATATCTATGTGCTTCTCAGTTTTTTCAACTATATTAGCGAGTATCGACAGTTCTATCCAGACTCAAACCAAAGGACCCGACTAATGTTGAGTATAGTAGAAAACAAAAGAATGGAAAAGATATTTGTATATCTGTTCAAACAGATACTGGTTGTGTTTTGTAGTAGTATTTGATAAAATGGACAATGGCTTATATTGTTAAGAGAAGGGTACATGAGATATTGTTGAAAATTTGGATCACACTCAAATATGCAGAAAGAGTAGAAGCGTGAGCTGAAAAGAGTCAGGTTCTTTGTCAAATTGTAGTTACTTTCAGTTAATTGTAGATAAATGTTATTCAAGAGGCCATAGCCGAATGGTAAAACTGGTTGAGAAGGGTGGGATGCCCTTATCCCAAATCTCATGTTTGAGTTGTGGGTTGGGGATGGAGGTCCACATTTTCTATATACAGACTGTCTCCGAGTCTTGAAAGATGTAGTCGGGTCGAAAATCCGGAGAACTTCTGAGTTAACAGAAAAATAATCGTAGATAAATGTTTGCGAGATTTTTTTTACTCTTCTTTGTCTGTTACTTTAGGTTGTGTTACTTTAGGTTGTGTATAAAAGCCGCATTGTGTTTGTAGAATATTTATTATAGATTATCTCTTAATCATTCTTGGTTTCACAAAGTAGTTTGTGGGTTTTTATGTGGTGTGTTTTATGGTGTTTTTATGATGTTGTTAATGAAAAAAAAATTGAAAATTTTGTTTTTTGTTTAATAAAAATTAAATTTTAGATTTTGATTCAAATTCATTTTTTTTTATTAAAATATGTATTTTAAAAAAAGGTTTACACGGATTTAATGCTACATTGAGTTTTATACATGTACACTATGATTTTTACTCCGATTTAATGCTACATTTTCTTCTCAATCACATATATTTGGCTTCTTGAAAAAGGTTAATTATAAAGATTATGAATGATTCAAAAAAATATATTAAAAATAAGGTTTGACTGTGATAACAATATCCCATATGATAGTTTTGTAAATTATGATTGGTTTATAAAAAATTATTTCAATCTAATTAAATGTATTAATTAAAAGGTGTATGAGACTATTTTACGTTTAAAGTCATTTTTTTGTATAATCCCTCCATATTAGAACCACAATTACATCCCAAAATAAGTAAAAAATGTTATATTATTAATAATTATAAATTAATAATTTATAGATATTATTGATAATTATTTAACAATATAAAACTATTATTTTTAATATACGATAAAAAGTATATTTTCTCTCTATCAAATAAATAATTCATATCATTTTTTTATTAAATTTATATTAATATATATTATAATCAAATAACAACTACTTGTTTTCACCTAATAAATATAAAAATAAAAGAAATTTGTATAAATATGTTGATTTTGAAGAGAGGTGAAAAAAATATTTTTTTCTTTGATTTGCAAACTATATATTTGTATAAAATTTTATAAAAAAATATATTGCTATTTAGCGTTGAGAAGAATCTTTATGATGAAACAAACTCTAAAAGATAAAATAGTTTCATACTAGAGAATTCTAGATTAAAAACAAACTCTCTAATACAAAATAGGTTTTTCATAATGAAATTTTTTTGGAAGAGAGAACTTGTTTCATCCGAAAATTTTTCAAGATTAAACTGTTTCATCCGAAAAAACCTGTTTTCATCCGAAAACTCTTTATGATGAAACTGTTTCGACCAAAAATTTCAGGATAAAACTGTTTTATCCGAAAGAGTATGTTTCGTTTGTGAACTCTTGAGGACAATACTGTTTCGTGTGAGAATGCATCACTTCGGAAAAAAAAAACATTTTGCAAATATGTATAGTGTATAAAGGTATAGGTATTGCAGATGTTAATAAAAAATGTACACTTTGCATTTTACAAACAATCTATATTGTTTGACATACTTGACCGAAAACCTCTATGAATAAATGTAAAAGAGGAGACATATGAGGTTCACAGTACAAAAGCAAAGTCCGGCAGCACAGTTAGCTCAATGACACATTGTTCTGTCCTTCCCTCTGTCGCATTTATTACCAATTCCATCTAAAATTGGCCATAAAATCATTTAAACAATTCATATATATATATATATATATATATACACACATATACATATGCATATATATACCCTGTCGATCAGATGGACACCTACTCTCTTTTGGATTTTGACTTTGTCTGCTGATTTTATTTTTTATGTATGCTTTTAGTTTAAAGCACAGATTAAATTCACCCTTTAGTTTTTGTTCACAATAATTATTCTATTAAAGTTAATTACATGTCAATATTTAATTTTGAATGCATACAATTAAAACAAATGTGTAATACATAATTATCTTTAAATTGAATTCAATTTAATATAATTTTTAAAATCAATTTAACTGAATACAGAAAAATATCAAAATAATAGAAAAATAAATGAAAAAATGTATACGTTAGGATTGATTCGAGATGCTTTGAACGTTATTTTTCTTTTTTCTCCCAAGCTTTGAAATTTACACTTTTTTTTAATTCCGAGATATGTATACATATACATGATAAATATATATATATATATATATATATATATATATATATATT